CGAAACCCACTCTCTCTCACCCATCTCCCTCCTAAACCCACCCTATCTACCCCCTCCCTCCCTCCACCCACCCTCCCCACCCCTCCCCTCCCCTTCCCCCCCTCCCCACCCCACCCCCTTCCCGCCCCACAACAGCAAGTCGCCACGCCCACCGTCGTGAAGAAGATCCTCCGCCTGAAGCAGGAGAACCCGGGGATGTTCGCCTGGGAGATCCGCGAGCAGCTCTCGTCCCAGCGCGTGTGCGACCCCGCGTCCTTGCCCTCCGTCTCGTCCATCAACAGGATCCTGAGGAATTCGGGCCTCTGGACGCCCCACGAAGCCGCTGCCGCCGCCGCCGTGGCTGTGGGAGCCGGCCAGGGGCACTCGGGACACGCCGCCGTCACGGCCTCCTCGGCGGCGGCGGCGGCGGTCGTAGGAGGTGAGGAGTCGAAGCCTTTTTCAGGGATTGGAACATTTTGTGGAATTCAATTTTGAGTATTTTGAGGGTTTTGAGAAATTTGAGGATTTTGTTGATTTTAAGCATTTTGAAGAAATTAAGTATTTTGAGCATTTTGGGCATTTTAAGGAATTTGAGGATTTTAAGCATTTTCATGAATTTGAACATTTTGAGGATTTGGGGGATTTTGAGCATTTTGGAGAATATGAACAATTTGAGCGCCTTAAGCATTTTGAGGCATTTGAGAATTTTGAAGATTTTAAGGATTTTGAAGATTTTAAGGATTTTGAAGATTTTAAGGATTTTGACAATTTTGAGGGAGGAGGATGGGATGGTGGGGAGGGATGTTGGAGGAATAAAGGAGTGTTGGGGAAGGGGTGCTGGAGGAATGAGGGGGAGTGTTGGAGATTGGCTGTTGGAGGAATGGGAGAGAGTGATGGAGATTGTGTTGGAGAAATGAGGGAGAGTGATGGAGATTCGGTCTTAGAGGTATGAGGGAGAGTGTTGGAGATTGTGTTGGAGAAATGAGGGAGAGTGATGGAGATTCGGTCTTAGAGGTATGAGGGAGAGTGTTGGAGATTGTGTTGGAGAAATGAGGGAGAGTGATGGAGATTCGGTCTTAGAGGTATGAGGGAGAGTGTTGGAGAAATGAGGGAGAGTGTTGGAGACTAGGTGCTGGAGGTATGAGTGGAGCGTTGGAGATTGTGTTGGAGAAATGAGGGAGAGTGATGGAGATTCGGTCTTAGAGGTATGAGGGAGAGTGTTGGAGATTGTGTTGGAGAAATGAGGGGGAGTGAGAAAGAATTGGTCTTAGAGGAATGAGGGAGAGTGTTGGAGACTGGGTGCTGGAGGTATGAGTGGAGCGTTGGAGATTGTGTTGGAGAAATGAGGGAGAGTGATGGAGATTCGGTCTTAGAGGTATGAGGGAGAGTGTTGGAGATTGTGCTGGAGAAATGAGGGAGAGTGTTGGAGATTTTGTATTGGAGAAAAGAATGATAGATTGGGGTTTGGGAGAATGAGGATGAATGTGGGGGGGGGAGTTGTTTGAGATTAGTTGTTGCAAGTGAGGAACGATTATTGTTGGAGGAAGTGAGAAGTGGAGATTTAACAATCTCCACTTCTCCTCTGGGTGTTGAAGGCGATGTTTTGAAAATGTTGGAGATAAATGCGATAAATGTTTGATTTCGTGGGATTTTCTGCCGGTGACTGTTGGAGATGTTGGAGAAATATTAGTTAATTAATCTAGTATCATATCATCGAGGGTTGATTATCTTCATTAGCATGTTGGTGATGACAGATTGATGATACTTGATTGAGAATTGACAGGTGATTTTATTATTATTTATTACTTATATTATCATTTTTATTGTTTTTCATAATCATTTTATCATCATTCATTATTATTCTTTATTATGTTTTTTTATTATCTATTATGTTTTTATTATTATTTATTATTATCTATTATTTATTATTATTATCATTATTCACTCCATATAGTATTTTAAACCTCATCTTCCTTTATTTTTATCATTAACAGTAAACGTTGTTTTTAGTTATTTACTGCTATATTTAGTATCTCGATTCCTTTTTTTATTTATTAAGAACTTTTGATTATATCAACAATAAATAATTCACTTTGCTTTGGTTGTAATTAAGGATTTGGCTGTCGGTAATGATTTTTATTAATGACTGGGATAGTAATAGCGGAGGTGATTGGTGACCAAAATTAATATACGTTTATTATTCGTGTTATTATTATCATTATCATTATCATTATTATTATCATTATCATTATTATTATTATTATTATTATTATTATTATTATCATTATTATTATTATTATTACTATTATTATTATAATAATAGTAATTATTATTATTATTATTATTATTATTATTACTATTATTATTATTATTATTATTACTACTACTACTACTACTACTACTACTAGTAGTAGTAGTAGTAGTAGTAATAGTAGTATTTCATTATCATTATCATCATTATTATCATTATCATTATTACTGTTATTACCATTATTGTTATTATTATTATAATTATTGTTATAATTATTACCATTATCATTATTATCATTAGTAGTAGTAGTAATAGTAGTATCATAATTATTATTATTATTATCATTATATTCACATACGCAAAATAACCACGTGATTCAAATAATAACATCAATAATGACCCTAAAATAATGATCCCAATAATAATGATAGTAATTAAATCGTGTTTATAATTGTATGATGGAAATAGTAATAATGATAATGATGAAATAAACAGTAATGATGATACTGCAATGACGAAGGAAGTGTTAATTGGTATATAAATAGTATGGTTTTATTTTGATTATTTTAATTAAGTAGAAGTTACACTATAATGTATTTATTTTAATCAATTTTACTTAAATTTCTGAAAAAAAACGATCAGCACATAAACAAACAGACAAAAAATTTACCATTCTCTATTTACTTCGATTTCCTACCTTACCTTTCTTCATTTTTCCTCAAAATTTTCATTAAATGTTGATAATAACTCCCGACAAACTTCAAAAAAAAAAAAAAAATTCCCGAAGCGTCGTTTCAGCTGCGTCTCTCCCCATCCCCTTCCAAAGACACGCGGTTATCTCGTCTTCTGAGATCCATTTCAATCAGCATCTCGTCACTGGAACTAAAAATCAATCGTGTGCGAGAACTTTCAAAAACAAAAGAAATGCAAATGGCGTCGCGAGGGAAAACAAAAGGGGGTCGCCGTTATCTGCATCTAAATTCGAATGCGTTTCACTGGTTTTGGTTCGTTTTTCATCAACTTGCCCGGCAAAGGGAAAATGATTCGGGATTTTTGTGTGTGTGGTTTTATTTTCTGGTGATATATATTTAATTTCTGAGTCATATTAACAGAGTAGAGAGAGGTAGAGGAATAAAACTATCATACAGGTATGTAAGACAATTTTAAAAGTATAAAAGATATTTCGACTTAAAAGATAAAACGGAACAAAACCCCGAAAAAAAAACAGAGGAATGCAATAAAGTCTTCAGTGAAAGGATTGAGACGCGACCGACCACCCCTGAATGTCACAGGCCAGTTATCTACAGCTTAAATTTCTCATTATCCTCAATGCTTCCTCGATTAATTAAGAATTCTAGCCTCTGCCGTAAATTAAAAGAAAAGGGAAGTCGCGGCAGATTTAAAAGTTTACGACACTCCACGTGAGATTAAAAAAAAAAAAAAAAAGAAGAGAGAGAAAAAAGGAAAAAAGAAAGAAAAAAAAAAAAGTTTGATGTTGATCACTGCGACGGAAGTTGATGAATTGAAAGACAGTCCGTTAATTATCGTAATTATGGTTCCCGATTTGATCTTAATTATATTTAATCGTGATCTGTCGGTGGCGAAGAGTGATATCTTCTCGATTAACTTAATTTGAACGCTTAGATTTGCCCTTTCATTAATCTTTCCCTTCCTCTGTCCCTGATGATACTGATAATGATAATTACGCAGTGTACATATAGCATTAAATTGATCTTTTTGAAAGTAAATCATGACCTAATAAGGCTGAGGATTTTGATATTGATTATGATGATGATAATTAGAATGACAATAGTGAATGAAAAAATTAAATGTTAATGAAGACGGTAATGATGGTTATGATAATTTACGCAACGATCGTAATAATAAGAATTATAGAGGCCATACAATAACAGTGATAGTAATAATGGTAATAACAGCAACCACAGTAATAATGATAGTATTGATGGTAATGATAATTATGAGAATAGAAATGTAATAGGGAGGATGATAATAACATAATGATAATAATGATGACGATAAGAACATTAATGATGATGATGATTATAATGATAATCTTAATAGGTAATAATCATCATTATTATAATAATATTAGTGACAATAGTAATAATAACAATAATAGCTATGACAACAATGACACTGATAATAACAATGATAATGGTAACAGTATCGTCATAATGATAATAATAATAATATCAATAATGGATATTAAAAACAGCAGTGATAAGTTGACGATAAATTTCACTATAATAACCATAAAAATAGTAGAATTTCACTATAATGACCATAACAATTGAAAAGACAGAGGTAACAATGATAATAGTGATTGCAGTGATAACAATAATAATCATTATAATGTTAATGATGTTTTTTTTTTAAATACAGCAACCTGATAATGGTAATGGTAAGGATAATAATAATGGTAATAATAATGATAATGATAATAGCCACAATTGTAATGATAGTAGAAATAGTGATGGTGATTGATAAATTGATAAAATAATATTGATAAAATGAAAACAGTACCAATAACAACAATGATAATCAATTGTAACGGTTGTTGTTCTTCTTGTTATTGTTATTGTTTTATTATCATTACTGTTATTATCATCATTTTTTTTCATTATCATTATCGTCATTGTTATTATCATTTGTATTATTATTATTATCAGTATCAGTGTTATTAACATTGTTGTTGTTGTTATTGCTATTATTATTTTTAAAAATTATTATCATTATCATTATTATTATTATTATTAATGATATTATTATTATCATTATTACATTATTACAATCCTCATTGCCATTATTACTATTACTACTACTTGTAGTGATAGTAGTCGTAGTATCATTATTACTATTATTATTGTTGTTATGTTGTTATTGATATTATAATCATTTTATTAATATATCCACTATCATTATTATTATTACTATTATTATTACTGCATTCATCATTATTATTATTATTATAATTATTATTATTATTATTATTATTATTATTATTATTATTATTATTATTATTATTATTACTATTATCATTATACTTGTTATAATTATTATCATTATGATTATTACCATCATTATTATTACCATTATTATCATTACTGTCATTATATTTTATTCTTATAATTGATGTTATTATTGTTATTATTATTGTTATTATCATTATTATCATTATCATTATCATTATTATTATCATTATTATTATCACTACTGTTATCACTATTATCATTATCATTATCATTATCACTATTACAATCATTAACATTATCGTTATCATTCTTGTTGTTTGTATTTATGTTATTATTATCATCATATCATCCTCATTATCATTATTATCAATACCATTAATGCTACAACATTATTAGTATGATTATATTATTATTATTACAAAAGTATTATTGTTTATCATTGGTGTTATTATTTATTAGTAGTAGCTTTAATAGAAGGTGCAGTGGTAACAGTAGTAGTAATACTACTATTGCTATGATTTTTAATGCTATAGCAAGCATGATTATAGTGGTAACGGTAGCAGTACTACTGCTATTACTATAATTTTTACTACTACAGTAAGTATCATTATAGTGGTAACGGTAGCAGTACTACTACTATTACTATAATTTTTACTACTATAGCAAGTATCATTATCATTATTATTTATAGTTATTATAATTAACCCGTCTCCCCCCCCAGGGTCCCCCTACTACGCCGCCTCCCTGTACCCCGGGTCCGGCTCCTCCAGCGACGCCTCGGCCGCCAGCGTGCCCGTGGGCGTGGACGCGGGCGTGAGTCTGGCCCTCGCCTCCCTCATGCCGCCCACGCTGCCCCTGCTCCCGCCCGCCGCCGCCGCTGCCGCCGCCGCCGCCGCCGCCCTCATGCCGTATCACCCGCACGTTTCGGCATCGCAGGCCACCTCCTCGGGCATGGGCGTGGGGTCGCACCTGGCCGCCCTGTCCGCCCGCACGCAGCCGCCGCCGCCCGCCGCCCGCCACTTGCCCTGCGGACCCGCCCACTGCCCGCCCGCCGCCCGGCCCCGAGGCGCCCGCACCTCCGCCTTCACCGTCGAGGAGCTGCTCAAGGACAGGCGCTCACCCTCGGCCGACGTGTCCGCGCGCCCGCACTTCCCTGTCATCGTGTCGAGTCTCTACGGCGCCCGCGCCCCGCCCTCGCCGCCGTCAGGGGACGAGCAGAGCCCCCAGCGGCCGCCCTCCCACGCCGCCCTCCGCACCGCCCGCGCGCGCCGCCCCTCCGTCCCTCCCGCCCTCGCCGCCCGCCGCCCTCGCCTCGACCACGCCGCCCTCCGCACCGCCCGCGCGCGCCGCCCCTCCGTCCCTCCCGCCCTCGCCGCCCGCCGCCCTCGCCTCGACCACGCCGCCCTCCGCACCGCCCGCGCGCGCCGCCCCTCCGTCCCTCCCGCCCTCGCCGCCCGCCGCCCTCGCCTCGACCACGCCGCCCTCCGCACCGCCCGCGCGCGCCGCCCCTCCGTCCCTCCCGCCCTCGCCGCCCGCCGCCCTCGCCTCGACCACGCCGCCCTCCGCACCGCCCGCGCGCGCCGCCCCTCCGTCCCTCCCGCCCTCGCCGCCCGCCGCCCTCGCCTCGACCACGCCGCCCTCCGCACCGCCCGCGCGCGCCGCCCCTCCGTCCCTCCCGCCCTCGCCGCCCGCCGCCCTCGCCTCGACCACGCCGCCCTCCGCACCGCCCGCGCGCGCCGCCCCGCCCGCGCGCGCCGCCCCTCCGTCCCTCCCGCCCTCGCCGCCCGCCGCCCTCGCCTCGACCACGCCGCCCTCCGCCAGCCCGCGGTGCCCCGACCGGCCGCCCGCGTCCCCCGGCGCGCCCAGGGGCCTCGATGTCCTCCTGCGCCGCCCGGACGCCCACGCGCCGCCCAGGTCCCCCCCCTCGCCCCCCTCGCCCGTGCCCACGTCGCCCGCCCGCCGCGACGACCGCCTCCCCTCCCCCCTGTCGAGACGACCGCTGACCAAGTCGTCTTTCCTCCCCGTGGGGTCGTCGCCGGTGGGTGTGCGTCCCCCGGCCTCCTCCACCCAGGCGCCCGCGCCGTCGGCCCCTACCGGATCGCCCCGCCCCCCGGCCTCCCCCACGCGCCCCTCGTCTCCCCCTCCCCGGCCTTCCTCCCCCGCGGCATCGTCCTCGAGTCTACCTCCGCCCACATCTCAAGCCCCCACGCCCACACCCACGCCCACACACACCGAGTATTCGCGGCCTCCGCTTCCCGTCCCCATCAGCAGGTACCC